AAGCATTCTAAATTATGATTTTTGCCTGGTGCGCAATAAAAACACGCAAAACCACCCATAGAATTACACTAAATGAAATATTACTACTACTGGTACTGTAGTACTGCTAGAGCAGATCAGCTTTGGTATATTTCAGTAGAATTTTCAGTAATACAATTACCGAAAGGAAACTGCTAATTGGTGTTAGCGACTAGCAGAAAGGTTAGGAGTTCAATCCTAAGATGCTGGGAAAGGTGTGAGATCTAGGAACAGCCGAGATAATGAGATGACAACCCAGCAAAAAATAAACATCAGTATCAAAGGCTGAATGAATGGAAGAACGCAATTACGAACACCTCAAGAGATCACACATGCCTGGGCCTCTGGGAACATTCTATTCTGGCATGAAGACCAGTCGTTCATCTCTGTTTCCAGTCGAAATAGCTGTTTTTTGCCATTACAGTGAACATTCAGGGCAGAGACTCATTTTTAACTCAGACACCATTAAAGTTTCATATTGTGGCGGAGAAGAGAGCGAATGATGGCATCCAAGAAGTGGAGGGAAAAGGAGGCTGTGCATCCAATAAACTACTACAATAACCTTCTGCAACTAGTCAAATTAGACTCATGGCAATATGGATAGGGTGTTTGACATGCCTAAAAATTCCAAAAACCATGAATACATTTACAAAAGGATAAAGAAAGTACAATAAACAATTATGGTACTGTTGTGTTGCCACTTGATATCAAATGTAAAATCTATGTGGGAATCGAAAACTGGATCTACATACAGTAGTTCGAATCCCAAACTCATTAAAAAACAAACAAAAAAAACATTCATTGAGCTCAGTGTAGTCTAAACCAGAATTTGAGAAGAAAAAGGAAAGTGATGAAAGCAAGCAAGCAATGAAGTCAAGACAGTTCTTCTAATTTTACATCTTCATCTTACCTTCCAATATGGAATAAATTCATAATGACACTTCAAAGTGAAGACCAACTGATCAGCAGGATTCATATTGAAAATGCTATGTGCTGCATTGTTGACAGTTTGTATATTTGCAGTCCAACTGGTTTTCCATTTTGAAGGATGAAAACGGACTTCTGCCACCTTCTGGTATAGACAGTTATTTCCTCTCAAGCAGGCGCATAATGTACTTGCAGGTTGGCCATTGGATATTCACTCTAGAAATGTTTTTTTAAAGGTTCTTTACACTTAGTAACAGTTCTATTTAGAACAGTATCATCCTGGAGAACTCTTACGTTGTGAAATGGTTCTTTGTGTTAGAGTTTAGGGTTCTTTATTCCCACCTTTGTGTTTTACAAATTTGTAACCACCAAAGTTGCCTCATTATTAACTTACTGGAGCTCAACCATCCAACTTCTCAGACTCTCAATGCACTCATTTACATTTAGTCATTTAGCAGACGCTTTTATCCAAAGCGACTTACAAATGAAGACAATAAAAGCAGTCAAAACTAGCAAATGACAAGTCTCGGTTAGCCTAACGCAGTACACGTAGCAAGGTGTATATTAGTGGTGGTTTTTATAGGCAAACATGAATGCCTTGAATGTAATGCGAGCAGCTACTGGTAGGCGCAAATTGATGAACAGAGGTGTGACATGCGTTCTTTTTGGCTCATTAAAGATTAATCTTGCAGCGGCATTTTGGATCAATTGTAGAGGTTTGATAGAAGTGGCTGGAAGACCTGCCAAGAGAGCATTGCAATAGTCCAGCCTGGATAGATCAAGAGCTTGAACAAGGAGTTGGATTGCGTGTTCTGAAAGAAAGGGCCGGATCTTCCTAATGTTGTATATAGCAAATCTTCAGGACCGGGCAGTTTTAGCAATGTGGTCTGAGAAATTCCTCAGCCAAGTTTGAGAGCAGCACATCTAATTCTTCCACGAAGTTACTTAGTGGTCCTGGGGGTCGATAAACAACTATAAAATGGATTATAAGAGGGTGGGTAATAGTGGCTGAATGTGATTTAAGGGAGCTGTTGATACTCAGAGATGGTAAAGGATTAAATTTCCAATCATTAGAGATAAGCAGACCAGTACCTCCACCTCTTCCAGTCAGACGGGGGAGTGGGAAAAAGATAAATGATTTGAGAGTGCTGCAGGTGTAGCATTGTCCTCTGGTTTGATCCACGTCTCTGTCAGGGCCATGAGGTTTAGTCTTGAATGACTTGTAATAGAAGTAATAAAATCTGCTTTGTTTACAGCAGACTGGCAATTCCAGAGACCAATAGAAAAAGAAAGTAGTGTATTAGTAGACATAGGCAAAGTGCGCAGGTTGTTAGGATTGCGCTGCCTACAGTGTGTGATGCATGGTTTGCGAGTGGTAGTGATAGTAGGGATCTGGAAACACATAGTAAGAATTGGTTATAAAAACTGAAAACAGAAGGGGAACAAGAAGTAGGAAAGAGAATGATTCAGAAGGACTCCCAACATAAACGGCCTATAAATTGTAACTTTCATAACTGGTTTGCTACCAGTCATGTCTTTTTCTCTTTTTAGATATTTAACAGAATATGCAAGTTGAACAGCTCTGTTCAGCTAAGGATACTTCTCTCCTCTTCTTCACTAAGTAACAGAGATATTGGATTTATGATTGATATTGTTAGAGTTTTCAATTATTACTTGGGTTTATGCATAAACATGCCCAGTCACAAAAACATTAAAGCTATGCCATGACACTGTGAATGTATTCTGTCCATTCACAATGGCTACTTTTGGCCTTCATAAACATTAATGCTTTTACTTAAACAAAGTGATATGAGACACTCTGCCTTTGGAGTGTGCACAAGCACAAGTTTTTGGCCCAGATACAGGCCTCATCTTAACAAGCTGGTGCTTTTTTTCTTTACTTTTGAACCAAAAACATACTGTACGACCGGTGCTGTCCGAATCTATTTATAGTGAATCAAAAATGGAGTACTGAATTTATCACAAGACTTTTGGCATGATATGAAATAAATAAAGAAAACAATAACAATCCGTATCATAACTGAAATAGACCAAATGCTATATTAAAACAGATCAACACAACGAGACAGTTTAATGCGTTGTTTTTCTCTCCAGGAATCATGTATGACATAAATTATCTGTGTTATTTATGTAAATGTATCTGTGCATCATACACCCAAATTGCATATTGTAATTTTAATAAACAAAATGACTTCTAACACAAAAATATAAATATTGAAAAAATCAGCTGCTGGAGACTTGCCATTGGCTTCTGAATTTGAATCATTAATGAGGTAGGTCTATTCAAGGTTTGGATGCTGTTTTGGGTGTGTCTTAGTAGTCATTTATAAACATAATTATGTTAGAAGTTCCATTTTTAATGGAACAAACACATTAGGATTGTTGCTGAAAAAAATGTAAAGACTGTTAAAGTTGTATACTGTCTATATACTGTCTGGGCAGATTACGTACAAATTGTATTCCATTACTGATTCCAAATTACATGACAAAAATTGTACTTAGTAACGTAATTCCTTAAATTACACATTTTTGGTAATATAATCTGACTACTTTTTGATACCCTTTAGGTTACTTTTGACATAACTTGTTTATCTAACATAAATTGTTGATTTTTAAAAAAAATAGATAACCTATATTATAATAGAATACTATATTGATATAAAAATACAAAGAGAAAGAATATATTCCCTCCGTTGTTAGTAACATCATTAGAAGTGCATTAAACATTACATTACGTCAAGGTGGTTCATAAAGAAACTGAATAATATGTATTGTGTGAATAATATGTAATCAATAAAAAGTAACTGTAGTCTGATTACGAAGTATTCAAAATGTAATGTAATCTAATTACAAGTACTTACTTTCTGGAATCTGATTACGTAATCCAGATTAGCCTTCAGGACTACACTGCATATAGTAATATGTTACAAAATATGCCACAGCTTGCAGAGCTCAACATTTTTTCAAATGTTCCTTTCTCAAAAGTAATTAAATAACTATTAAATGGAACAATTAAGATGAATCACATAATACACATCCTTGAGAAGAATAAATAAATAAATACAAGTCCACATGTGTGTCATTGTGTATGAATGTGTCATTGACAAAGAGGAAGTTTCGCTATCTGTGTGCACATATTTTATGCAGTGTGTGTAAATGAGAATGTGTGTTCTGAAGGCATGAGATGAGGGTCATGTGAGTCTGGCCTCACCTAACCTTCTCTTACAGAGTTTCAGGAATTAAAGACCCGTTCGTAGCTCCATCTAGAGGCAGCGGAGTTCACTACACAGCAATTAAATGCAGAATCTTAAAGGGGTCATATGATGCTTTTTTAAAGATCATTATTTTGTGTATTTGGTGTAACAGAATATGTTGACATGCTTTGATGTTCAAAAAACACATTATTTTTCAAATACTGTACATTATTGTAGGTCCTCTATGCCCCGCCTCTCTCAAACGCTTCGTTTTCTACAAAGTCCCTCCTTCTGACAAGCACAGTCTGCTCTGATTGGCCAGCTGACCCAGTGCATTGTGATTGGCCGAACACCACAAGCACTGGCAGAGTCTTAACTTTGATAAAGAATATCTCTTTGGTTTTGAGACTTTAGTCTTTGCAACTTCAGGGATCTTATCTATGCACAATCAGCTTGTAACACTCCAAAGAGAAAGGAAAACTTGAAATCGCATCATATGACCCCTTTAATGACTGCAAATAAGGGCAGGAATAGGAAGAACATTAATTTGCACCAAATCAGCACATACTAAAAGAACTCATTAGATTAATTTCTTATTACATCTCCAAATGGTGCTTTTAGTTAATGAATACAGGAATTGTGCCTAATTAAGCATGAAATAACCCCATTCAGCAAGTTGTCAGGGACTGAGCCTGAAATATATAGCCTAAATCAAAGAACAGAGAGATTGAAGTTATTCACAGATGTATTAAAATAATTCCTTCCTTCTCCTTATTAAGGATGAGAGATTTAGATTGTTTAAATTACTTCTTGTTATAAGAGAAAGAAAAAAGGCCTTACTTCCACATATTCTCCTTGGTTGTCTGTGGTGTTCAGTTGTCTGTGAAAAGAAAAAAAAACATTGACAAAATGTTCATATTATATAGTACGCCATATATAATAAACAGAGAGTCATTCAATTGGGCATAATTGCCAAATAAACCCTGATCAGAATTCCAAAACAAATCTGACTGTAAATTATCCCACTTTATGCATAGCTACTTACATTGCAATCTAAATGAATAAGCTGACATAATTAATAACTATAAATTAATAGTCAAACTTATGTTCTCATATCATAAGAAAATTAGCAGTTGTAACACTGAATTACACAGTGTCCTCATACAAAAATACTGACCAATCAGAATCAAGTATTCCAGAGAAATGCATAAAACATGTTTAAGCATTTTAAAAACGTTGAATGCCACCTCAGCGTTAAACAGCATCAGTGAGATATGTAGTGAGATGGATTTCATCATAAGTTATTCCTATTGCATTTTTTACACAGGATGTGATGTAATATAAAAGTCACAGAAGAACTTGACCTATTTTTATCATCCAAAGGAAGTGAAAAGCATGTTCCTCCTACTGCACACCACATCAATGACAGGATGAAATGAGTTTCAACCAAAAAACAGGAAGCGCAGAGACAGAGCATTTGAACACAGTAATATGAATATTATTATCATTATTAAAAATGACACATGAAAGAATCACAAAGAAACACCCTTTTTAACCAATAAGTCTTTCTTTTTGGGCCAATAAAACAATTGTAAATGAGAAAGCAGCATTATTCTTAAAAAAAAAGAAGAAGAAGAAGCAAAAGTTCTCATCTCATAAACAGTATGTTCTGATTGTGACAACTTACCCCAACTTTTTATGGCAACCTGTTAGTGTCTTGAAAATAACAGTAAATATGTTCAAACGCTTTAAAAATTTACTTTTAAAAATAAACCCTGAGAAATACAGATAACAGAAAGAGTCTGGGCTGAAGAGATTTCAAATCTCAATATATTGCCCAGTGGCAAAAATACTTGGTCAAAATTCATGCACTCTCAGAAAAAAAAGGTACGAAAGCTGTCAATGAGGCAGTATCTCTTCAAAAGGTATACTTTTGTACCTTATTTAACCCTTAAAGGGTGTGCATTAGTACCATAAAGGTGTGCATATTAGTATTTCCACTGAACATAATAGTACCGTTTGAACGGGTACTGCCTTAAATGACAAAGTGACAGCTTTTGTACCTTTTTTTCTGTGAGTGTGTGAGAGAAACAAACTTGTTTTAAGCATGGGAAGAATTTTTAACAAGGCGGTATGATAAATGAGCAACAACAAATTCACTGTCAGATCAGGCCAAGAAACAACTTTCAGCATGGGAAAAGTTTCAGCAAAGCAGAAGTGTGTGGAAGTCTAAGTCTAAGTCAATCAAAGTGAAACAAAGTGTGTTGAACCAAAGATTTCTGTTCTGAAACACAGGAATGAAAGCAGTATAGATATACAAACAGGTCCTTCACATGCTCAACAAATCTGTTGTTATTTTCTGAAGGTCACTAGAGTGGGTAGAATCATGAAAACAACATGCGAAGGAACATACCAAGTCAAAATATCTCCTGAGATGTGATTCAGACCCCAAGATGCTAAAACAGCACCCAGAACAGGACGTTCTAGACCAAAAATCTAATCATAGCATTTTAAAACTGCTTTTAGAAAGATATTTTTTTTCCAGTGGGCCTTCAGGTGCACCAAATCAGTTTTGAGGCATTTCATTTTTTATTATTCATTACATTTATATAGCGCTTTTCTACACTGTAAAAAAAACGCAGCTGTGGTTGCCGGAATTTTACCTTAAGAAATATGGTAGCAACATTTTAGGTTTTAACTTAAAAAATGTACAGTTAAATACCGTAATTTCATTAACTAATATAATGTTAATATACCAACCTATTGAAGTACTGTAATCTGTTTTGAACCTTTGTAATACAAAAGCAGGTGGTCACATGATGAACCAAAGCCCGTCACAAGCAGCTTTTAAATAATAAAATGTATAGAAGGTGCACAGTGTCATTCACACAAACACTAAACACCATCACGGTAACACACATGAAACTGAGATAATGCAATAAACATTCATTTAACAACATTAGGTGTAACATACAACCCTAATATACAAAACTGATAAGAAAAAACTAAGAAGAAACAGTTATTTCAACAACAAAAAAAACATCAAATTTGAAATGTAACGCAGGGAATTCTGGGAATGTCAATTTATGGTTATTCACTGTACATTTAACGATCTTTTTCACTTACAAAAACAGTATACTACCGTAAAATTACATGTAGTATGTCCAATACAGTTTTTCACCGTATATAGTAGGGGAATTTACCATTAACCATTTAACAGGTTTTTACTGTAGCATTTTTACAGTCTTTCACCGTTAAATTCACGGTCATTTTTTACAGTTAACGGTATTGTCATACAGTAACAAAAATGCCATTGAAGAAAATCCCTATATACAGGCAATGATAAATTTATTCTGCAAGTGAAGTGGCAAAAAATAATATAATATTAACTATTATTACTATTAAGTATTATTATTATTATTATTAAAACACAAAAAGTTGAAGCTGAAGCAGTGTCCTCTTAAAGACACTGAATACAAAAGCAGGAAGACTCTTAACAGTTTCCTGAAAACATTTCTCACATCCTCCAGCTGTGCTGGCTGACCTCACATCATTATCCTCCTCAGCCGTATTTACAAAAGATCTCGCTTGCGAACAACAAACCAGGTGTAGTTTATAATGAGCTCTGACTGAGAACTTAATTATAAAAGGACAATGCTTTTGTGGCATATGCAGTTTGCCTGTATTAAAACTGTTCAAGACAAGATACCATTACAGTGCCCTGTTTTTTTTTCTTCATATCTCAAAGTATTATAATTGGATACCATAACTACACCATTTATGACCACAGTTCTCTTTTGTAAAGGCTATATTGAATTCAAAGTATACAGTGTGTATAAAGGACATTCATATTTCATTTTTTTAAGTTCACTATTTATTTATATTATAAATAAAATTAAAAATAATATGCAATGCATCCACCACTGTCATCAAAATATAATAAAAATTTGAATAAAATGATTAAAAAAATTAATTACAAAAATTGTTAGAAACTACTCTGCGAAACAAACAACATACTGACAATGACAAACTCACCTTAGATCCTTGTGCAACTTCATACTCAAACAACACTTCTGAATGAATAGACAACAATAAAACCTTTTGTAAAAAAAAACAAAAAAACAACAACGATGAAGAGTTTCCTAAAATTGTTCATTCAAGTTTCCCAGTCTACATCTATGGTCTGTCAAGTCCCTTTGGGAAGTTGAGAGGAATGAACAGCAGCTTTCCTTTGAATGTCTGTTCATCCTGTTGCTCTCTGCTGCCCACTAATGTGACTAATGTGAATTTATGAGGGTCACTGCTGAAACACTGTTTGACCTCATTGATCAAACAATCACAGGTTTGTGACCTCATTACCAGCCATTTACATGCCAGGAAGTGAAATGGGAAACATGGCTGAACCGAGCAGAGAAACAAGCCTGATGTAAAAAGAGAATATCCAACACCATCATTGCCCAAAATCTTTTACATATCCCAAACATTAATAAATTCACTTAAATATATTTTAGTATTTTGGTATTACCATACTGGAGTCTAGGGCCCTTGAGATTGACTGCATTAGTATGCATGTCCAAGCGCACGGGGCAGGTCTTAATCTTGGAGCCTCTATCTCATGAGAACATTTCAAGCATGACATCAATCCAGGTGTACATGTACAATGAACAAGAACCGGTGTCACAAAGGAGCAGAGATCATATTTTACTGTATCACAAAACCACCATCACGGTATATGGTCAGACATGAGGATTAGTCTCATCTGACCCTATAGTGCAGCTACCTGATTTATCTGTGAAGAGTTTGTATTGCCCTAATAATGTCTCAATTTGCTTCATTATTAAACAGCACTGGGGCTTTTCCCTGTTTGTATCACTCTGCTTGTGCATTTGGGATATTTTTCAGTTACTGTGGGTTACATTCGGTTCACCAGTAGGTGATTGTCTTTCGAGCGAGTCAATGAGTCATTCATTCAAACGTTTTGCTTGTAAATTCTGAATGATTCAGGAATGAATCACACCTGTTGCAGCGAGACGTGCCAAGATTCTTTCGGCTTTGGATTCGTATAGAATAGAACTGTGTTTGTTAGTGAAACAAAAATACAGAAATTAACCAGCAAACTGAATCTAAAACATAAGTTACTCAATATTAACTTCTTGTTTATTAAATTGTGGTTTGCTCTTGTCAGTCCTGTGTTAGTCCTCATGAAATCAGAATTGACTTTATTTATTTTGTTAGCGCACATTGCTAGTCTTGAGGTGAACAATTAATCCGTGCAAGTTAGTCCACTGAAAAAAAAATGGTAATCTTCAGTTGGAAATACATTATTACACTGAAATAAAGTGGGCTGCAAATTCCGATTCACGCAGACTTTAACGGTGTGGGAATTGAACCGTAAGGATTCAAATACAAATGTCCTCAATTAAGTGTATTTGATATCAAAATATTGAGATTATTTAAATATTCTGCTGCTGTGTGAAAGTGGCAATTCATTCATTCAATCAATCGATTCGTTCACTGTTAATGATGTTGCTAGCTGGTTCATTCAGCTTTGACTTTGTTTGGAACGAATCGCGGTGCGGAAAAAACAGAAACTAAATGCAATATTGTGTCTAAAATGCTCAATATTAACTTTGTGTTTATTGAATTTTTGTGTAAAAATCACATTGCTTTTTGTCAGAACAGCATTCATGTGGCATTGCTGTATTTACATGGCAACACAAATCCATTTCCTAATAGCACTTGTTTTCAGTATGAAACACATTCAATATAAATACATACTAGTATGTAATTCAAATGAATTGTGAATGGCGTTTAATCTTTAACGTTAAGTACTGTGCTCAGCTACTATACTTAGCCCTTACAAAAATTAACCACGATTTTATTATAGTTCTGTCAGGACCACTATCGTCAAAATGATAGATACTTAGCATAAAGTTTGGTTTGGCGGTATGGTTCTGTTCTGGGCAAAAAACCTCCCTGCCCATCCATGCAGCCTGTCATGAATGAGCAGGGAGAGCAACAATAATAACCCCCCCAGGGTTAACAGAACAGAACAAGGCAGATATCATTAATGTACTCAATGATATTTAAGTGTAACACTTTATTCAAGATAAAGGAGTCTGATTAGCAAGGAATATCAGAAAGCTAAGTCCTGACTGTGGCGAAAGATGGAGCTGGGGATGGAGGAGGGTCATTTGCTCCGGAGCAAGCTGAAAAGCTGCTGAATAATGTTGAATAGAGCTTATATAGGAATGCCGCGATAGGTGTCGTATTCCTATTGGTAGATGTGATCAGCTGAGAATCAGCTGATGCAAGCTTGTCTCACGTGACCTGCCAGAACTAACGCTAAAGCTTAATTAAAAATGTAGTAAAAAATTGTTTTGGCATATTGACTGACATTTGTATAACCACAGTTTTACTACAAATACCATGGTTAAACTATTATGTAGTAAAACCATGGTTACTTTGTGGTTACTATGGATTAACTATTGTAACTATGATTTTTTTAGTTTTATTTGTAGTAAAACCATGGATAATTTTTGCAAGGGAGGGTATAAACAAACAATGAAGGTCAGATTCAAGAATCAAGAAACGGATTCTTACCTGTTAGGCTTTTTCTCTTCTTGACTGTCTTGTTTGCAGTCTGATTCTATTTTAGCATCTTCCTCTACTGCTTGCTTCTGCTCCACCTGACTGCCGTGTTTCAGAGGTAACTGAATCAAATCTACCTGGAGCTCCTCAGCATCCTTCATGGAGGTGTCTCCTTCTTTATGTCTCTTCTTGGGCAGCACTGGCTGGATGTCTGGCTCTTTGCTCTGACTTAGACCTGGTGAAGATTCTAGACATGCATTTGGTGGATCAACATGTAGCTTGGAGTCAACTAATGGCTCCTTATCTTCATCTTTCAGCTTTGTTGAGTGTCCATCCATAGTCGGTGGAGGTGGAAGGTCACGATTCTGAATGTGATTATCTCTGGTTCCTGCAGCTGGCTTGTCCTCTGAGATGGGGTTCTCCAGGGCCTCCAGGCCCTTCCCGGAGAGTACGCTGAGAAGTGGGGAATCAACGACATGGTCCTGTGGAGGTCTCATGCTTTGACTCCGACTGAGGTTGGTCTTGTCCTTGGACTTGCTCTTCTTCAAGCTTTTGTCCTTCTTCGGGTGACGCGGCATGGTGCCCATGTGCGTGTACATTTCACTGGAGCTGGCATAGCTCGGGCTGCGTGGATGCATGCCCATATCGTCGGTGGACACCTCTTTGACATCGTCCTTCTGAGTGTCTGATTTCCGCCGGAGGTTGGTGAGACTACCAAACCACTTGAAGCCTGAGAAAGGAGAAAACATGTTGTGTGTGCTGTAACACGGCACGGATTTCAGACTAAACCTCTCTTTGGTAAAAAAAAAGAAAAAAGGCTGCTCGTTGTGGGCTGACTGTGCACCCCAGGGTCCCTATCATACCAAGAGTTCCTTCAATGTGAGAAAGAAACATGTAGCCTCTTAAGTAAACATGAGTCCTGACCTCGTCTGTGGGAAAAATTCATTGGTCCCTTTAGTCCCTAAAACAACCATTTGAACATTTCAGCTTCTCATAAATTAAGACAGAATATTTATTTCTGGTGAAAATCATGTGATAATAATGAACGGGGGAGGAAATTAAGATGCTGTGCAAACAGGAAGGCAATTCTTAAAATAGAGTTTTATCATAATTTGTAATTTTTCTTGCATGACCTTCGATGTCAGGGCCTGAATTTTCTCATTGTCACTGTTGGAACGTCTGTTCATTTATCTTAATATTCATAGCTCTCGGGGGACTGATGACATTTAGCCCCGTTCTGGTTTTGTTTCTTGTCAAGTCGTCTTGTGTTTTGAGTATTTTCAGATATCAGACAGATTGAAATTAATAACACATGGGACTGCTAAATGTGATGAAGTTCATAATGTATTGCTGTAATGCAATATAGTACTTGAATAAGAAACACATCTACACAAAAGTGTAACTAATATTAAGGATAAAACATGTTTTGTGAGATGAAACTGTAACTTTTTACATTCACAATAATCAAATAATCTTAAAATTAATGATAAATACCAGATCTTATTTGCACTTACATTTTGGATTATGAAATTACAGTAAAGTGTACTTGAAGAAGAAACACAGCTATACAAAAGTGTAACTAATATTAAGGAAGAAAAATGTTTTGTAAGATAAAACTATTACTTTTTGCATTCACAATAATCAAATAATCTTAAAATGAATTATAATTAAAACACCAGATCTTATTTACACTTACATTTTGGATTATGATATTACAGTATATTGATAGTAGAAGTGTCGAGGCAAATGTCACTGTGAAATATAATAATAATAATAATAGCACAAATTCTAAATTTCAGTGTTTTCATGATCAATATTTAAATATTAATAAATCAGTGTTTAAATATATACTTCAATGTTTATTAATTTTCACTAACTGTGGTGTATACATATTTTGACTATAATAGTAAAAAAAAATAGAATTCAACTGAAAAAAATATATTCTCTGGAAAATGATATTTTTGTGTTTTGGATTTGTCAATTTATTTAATTAATTACTGATCAAAATGTATTTATGGATCAAAATAAATATTTAATATTTACTACATTTGATATATTTACTGTTTTGTGTTTCATAGTAATAATTGTTAATCATCATACAGTTACATTTGAATTGTTACTGTTAAAAATGTAATATTTAGTGGAGGTTCTCATTAGGAAAAAGGTACAATAAATATGTTGAATAATCATTTTTTGTGGTGGGGGGGGGGGGGGGGGGGGGGAAGGGAGCCAAAGCCTTCTGCTTGACACTTCACAAGTCAGCTCCCTGAAAACCCTGAAAACCTTGAAC